TGCATTTGTTAATGCCGTCTTGTCATTTATTAATAGTCTAGTTTTCCCTGGCTTTCCCAGTCCTGGAGATGCTGCCAAAGATATTGATGAAGACTTCAGTAGATCAATCAGCAGCCAGTTCATTACCTCCTCGGGCAACAGTTGGCCCACATACTATAGACTATATACTATACCATATATATATCCAGCATAACTGTATAGTTTTCCGATTATCTGAAGGATCTTTTCTCTTGGGCACTTCATTAGCCAGTTGACAGCTGCTAATGAACCTCTCAAAGCCAAGTACTCGCACCACCTCCTTTTGTGGCAAGTTCATTGAACGATTCGGCCAGCGTGCACGAAATTGCGAAACTAAATTAACAATGGTTTACTTTCCTTTTAGGTGGGCAGGGATTTTCCGGGGGCAAAGTGGGATGTGCTAGCCCTTTTATGGAGGGACATGTTTTCTATTTTGAGGTAAGGAATGAAGGCACTCTACTGAAGGATTTTTGGTAGTATTTCTTCTGAGTTGGTAAGAGTTTTTCTTTTTAAACTTAACTTGCTTATAGATTTATGTTAACATAAAACTTTCTCATGAACAAGACTTCTAAATTTATATTATAGTTTCCATTAGTTAATCACAAACCCAACTACCTTCCTTCGAACTTTCCCTGGGTATCGAAATTTTCTTGGCCTGCAACAAAAGAGCGTATCCCCTCGCAGGAGCAACTTAAATTGCAGCGATAAGCTTTAAACTGCGAGCACTTCCGGCACATTGGGCCCGACTCCTCAGCTATATAGCACATATATATATGCATATATATCGAAATATATATAGCAGACAAGGTATATAGCACATGTACTTGGCGTCCAGCTGGGAAAGTGTTGGCAAGGATATGCTTAAACATGCAAATTTTCAATATGCAGACAAAACAGACACATGCACAGGCACAGGCACAACATGCATGCCTGCCCAGAATCGCCAATGTGGATGTGGATGTGGATATGGACTGTTGGACTGTTGGTCTGTATAGACAGGATGATGGCTCAGGGTGGCGGGTTTGGAAGTTTTCACTGGCGGAACGTGAAATGCAATTGGGGCCATGCCCACCCCTTTCAACGCCTGCTCCTCCCCCCTTTCGATGAAATTGCCCGATTGTGTTGAAGTGTGATGTAGGCTTCGCTTGTTGGCCAGGCCAAGAGGCCTTTGGCACATTTCGTTGTCGTGAAATTAATTTCTCCACTCTCTGCTCTCGTTAAAAACTGCTCTTGATTTTGTATATGATGTGAGTATGTGCTCTCCAATTACCATAATTAAAACGGACCTGGCCTGGCCTGGCCTATAGGCTGCCATAATGGCGGCCAGTTTGCACGGTACTTCGAGGCTTTCTAAAGTTCGTTTTCGGAGTTTTTGGCAAATAGTTAGGTAATCTTAATAGTTTATAAAATATATGCCTTTAATAATGATAATTTATAAAGGGTTTTGTACTAAAATGCAGCTATTAAAGGTGGTAAAAACCGTTCTTTGGACTTGGGAGGGGAATTTTCTTTTTAATCTACAATTTTAACCTTTTTGTTGCTACTCAAAAGAGTGTTTTTTACTAGTTTGTTTATTTGCTTAATTTAGTAATAAATCCATTAAAAATACACTTAAAAGAGTTAATTTTTACATATTTTTTTTATATATTTTTATATTTATTTTAAGACCTATTTTTAAACTTAAAAATTGCAAATAAAAAACTTTCCGCAGGCAACCCCTTAGACCTTTCGAACTCCCCCGCCATCTATGTCTCAGTACCACCTTCCCTACCTTATTCCCCCGCACAAAACCTGTCCATAACTATCATTTATCATCTCCAAACACACACCACACACTCTCAACCAGCACTCACTAACCAAAAGCCACGAAAGAAAATGTTGCCAAATCATGGAACTGACCGACCGATTCGTCCGCTGGCTAAACGTACTCGTATTCGTATCTTCATTTGACATGCTGACGTTTATGGCGTGGTTTTCCATGTTGGTTCTTTGATAAATTGAATAAATTTTATGGTATAATTAACTCATGTTCATGGCTAATGTGAACGCGATCCGCCCTCGTAATTAAATATCTGGTTATTGCATCAAAACGGTTAAGTGGATCACGATATTTTCCACCATTGCTCCCCCAACTAATGGCAACTTTTTCAGGTTGAATGTGCTTTAAAAATAATCAACAAAATTATTTAAATAAATGCCAGCTCAGAGATGGAAATAAATCCGAAAGAAGAGATGAAATTTATGAGAAAACACCCTCACGAAATATAATTTAGATAAAGGTTAACATAATTTTGATAAGGCGACCGCAGGAATTTATATGCTCGCACCTAACTGCAAATTGTGTGTAATGAGCTAAGCGGCGGAGGGCCACCTTTATATTAACCTTTACCTTTGTCCTTGTCTTTGCCCTCTTTTCTACCTTTTTTCCTATATTTTTTGTGACTTCTTTCTACTCCCCACCCTCTCAGCTAGTAGCACATTTTCATGTTTTCTAAGCCCGAAGAAGACATAAATTTGTTAGCACCCTTGGCCTGGTCAAGATCCCAACCAAAAAAACTTATCCTTTTTGAGGGTGTTTTCCCAGTGTTTTTTCTGGCTCCTGTTCCCTGCCCCGTGCCCCGTGCCTAGAAAAAGAAAAACACGGAAAAATTAGTCAGGCTGTGCCGCCTGCTAGATCGGTCCTTTGAGATAAGTTCCTTCATATTTATGTTGGAAATTAGGCAAATTTTTAGTGGCGAGATAATTTGTGTACGACTTTGTCGCAGTGAGTGAGAAAATTTAAGGTATCTAAGGCTGGTTTCTCCTGTGGTTAAATGGGAAATAAAAATGTAGCCAAGGCAAGATAATGAATTGGGAGAAGGGGAGCTCTATAAAGGGAAAATTTGTGATTAATTCTGAAAGTTATCACTAATTTTATGGATTTTTAGGAGTGGAAAAAACATTCTTTGGTACTGAAAACCTTTTATTTTTACTCACTAGTTTTCCCTACCTTACCTCACATTTCCACCCCTCCAACCATTTAACAAATCAAACAAAAATCGAAACAGAACTTATAATTAAATCCAGAAAAACTTTGATATATTTTTCATAACAGTATGACACTTTCTCACAGCTTTTCCCTGAACAACTTTTCCATCCTCAACCCCAACCTCAAACCTAAACTCTGTAAATGAAGACATTTGGAAAGTTGGCTGGCTTGTTGGTCAAAAACGATTTTTTAATTGTTAGCCTGGAAGTGTATAATTATTGCTTAGTTATCGGTTAGGTAAAAAGCCTCAGCTTTGAGTTTATATAAGCCATATTTAAATGCCCAGGCCAGCCCACTGGCCCCCCCAGACGACCGCTGTCCAATTTTCTGACCCTCTTTTTGGAGAGGCCTAGCCTAGCATGGCCTATGGCCAAGTTAAATTAAGTTATTAAATATTTTAGCCACGAGTGATTGAGTGCTGTGGTGGTAGGTGATTAGCGCTGATTGACAGAGTGATTGGGAAGTAGATTGTCAAAAGTGGCAAGATTTGGGGGAGGAGATATGAAGATTAACTTAGAGATACTTAGATACTTTTAAGACTAAGATTTGAAAGCCAACTAAAGGGACAAACACTTTCCCTTGACTCCAAATTACTAGCTAATATTTATCTTAAATTTAAAGCCACTCAAACTGGCGTTGTAAACAACTCCGAGAATTTATCTGCAGATAACAGACAGAGCCGCCTGCCTATAACGAACCCCTTCTAACAAACAACACTTTAAAATGTTAATGGCCGTGTCTAAAAGCTGAAACTAACAGAAAATTAATAACAAACGTCCATAGAGCAGACATACATCATTAGAAATTGATGACGCATGTCGCGTGCAACTGCATCCATTGTTGATGGCAACATGCAACCCTTTCAGAGGGCAGAGACAGAGGCAGCTATAACATGGACTAAAACACGGAGTGGTAATTAATTAGACTTTCATAAAGAGCACAAAATTCTATAAATTATATTTCATTGCCGTTTCCCCAAATGTCAGTGGCCATGCGCGACTGCGCATCACGTGTTTCAGGTTGCAGGCTGCAGGTTGCAGGTTGCAACTAGCTGAGGGCAAAAGCTATATAACTAGCAAACCTGCAAGCTCACCCATAACGTTATTAATCGCTGGCCAAAAGCATGTTGGCCATGTTGGCAAATAGCTGCCCATAAAAGCTAAAAATAAAAATAAAAATAAATAACAAATTTAAGCACGATTTGTGTTATAAATTGTTTATTCAGCTTCTGCTCTCTTCTTCTTTTTTGCACATAATTTAAATAAGTGTTTAGAGTAGGGGCGGGGGCGTGTCTAGGGGGTTTAATTCAGCGTGGAATTCTCACAATAATTTGTAGTTTTGCAGTTTTGCAGTTTTAGTTTTAGGAACAAATTTGGGGGGACGACAACAAAAACACACAGCAAGGGGGGGTAGGCATGGATATATATATTGCTAGGCCTAATTAAATTAACTAATACTGTTATAATGCTACCGAAATTACAATACAGTGAAACCAATCAATATGGTTTTCTAGCTTAGCATCACATGCAACATCGAATGGGTGTTGCAGCAACATTTCAGGGGTTATTTACAAAGGGTTTTCTTTTTGATTTCTATCTTTTTTTTTTTTGATTCAACAACATTGCACATACATTTCGTTGATAGGCTGATGTGGTCTTTGAACTTAAGGAAATTTAGGTATTTTTTTAATATTTTAATTTAAGTTAGAAATTAGAATACTCTTTGTTTGCCTTTTAAGAGTTTAAATCAAGGTAAAGGCAAGAGTTTGGAGGTTTAAACTTGAAAAACTAATTTTAAACTTGGAGTTGTTACTTTTCAAACTTAAAAGTTTAATTTTTTAAACAAATTTATATATATTAAATAAGTTTAAAAAGTTACTTCTATGATCACATATTCGTTGCTATTTTTTAAAATATTTTTTTAGTAAATTTCTGATGGAAAAGTCAAAAAACAAATTTAGTGCACAAAAATTAAGATTTTTTAATACCTTAAAAATTCCTGAAAAATTACAAACTTTCCCTGAGACTCAAAGACCACACTAGCCTATCATTTTGGGTGGGGCAAAATAGGGGAATGGGTGGTTTAGTTAGCTTTGTTAATAATTCGCTTAACCTAAGGACTCTCAGCCCTACTAGAGGCTGGCGGCGATGCCTGATGCTGGGGCACCTGATAAGGACTAAACCTCTGTGGATAGTGACTCAACTGCGGGCGGGCTCTCAAATCCGGCGAGGCCGAGCCGCACGAAGAGGTGGGCGTTGCAGGTGCTGGTGGTGCCACCGCCATGGGTGGGGGTGGCGTTCGATTAGCGCCCGCTGCTGCCAAGGCCAAAGCTGCCTGCTGATTGGCACTGGCCAAGAAGCCGGCCGTTAGCTGCGGCCACTGTTGCTGCCACATGCCCAGCTGAAAGGCGCTGAGGTGAGAGGCTGGCGGAGGTGGTGGTGGTGGTGCCGCCGAACGTTGGTACAAATGTGGCAGCAACATCTCCGTATACGGCGATCTTCCGAACATTTGCAAATGCTGGCGGGCTTTCTCCAGCAAAGCCAAGGAGGCGGCATCGGCCTCTTGAGGAGTCAACTGGGACATCAGCGGGTCTGGGAAAAAGCGCAGAGGAGCCGTTCTGCATGTGCTGGTCGAAGAAGAAGGCGTCCATGGGATCCCTAAAAGGGGTAAAAGGAGATTTTTATTAATTAAAATTTAACTAAAAGTTCGCTAAACGCTTGTTCTAATTTCCTGGCGCTAATCAACAGAACTAATGATAGAATTTGCCCTCTAAGAGCCATTGCCACTCCATTAAGTTCGAGTTGCAGACTTCAAGAAGTTCGAGCCTGGCTCTGGAGAACCTGAAGAAACGTCAGAACCCGATGAGCAACTTGTTGCTGCTGCCACTTCAGCCGGAGCAATAACATAATTACGTCGAAAGTAACTGCCAATTGCCGACACTAAACAACAGGAACAACAACAGCAACCAGCCAGCCAGCAACAACAACAGCAACAGCAACAAGACCAACATTCACTCATTATTTTCGTGTTTTCATTTCATGTACGAATCGGCATCAAAGTTAAAAGCGCCGATCTGTAATTTACGCCACTTAAGCCGCCGCCGTGCCGGCTACAACAGCAACATAGCTTTGATGTTGCTGCTTCTGCTGTTGTTGCTGTTGTTGGTGTTGCTGCTGTGCCCGTGTTGCTGTTGCTGCTGGCGGCAGAGCATTTGCCGTCTTAATAGCCGCCGCCTTGCAACACTTTGAAGTCGCTGTCGAAAAAAGGGCAGCAGCCCTCAGAAATGCTGGAAAAAAGAGGTTGCCTTTGGCCTGATCCTGTCGGGAGTAGGGCAACATGTTGCTAAGGCTGGTAGTCCAATGTTGCTGATGTGCGAAAATGTTGCTAGCAATTTTTGGTACACGAAAAAGTACTTTTTCGATGTTTTAAGCTTATTTTCGGGAAATTTTAAGATAATCAGGCAAATAAATTTAAAAAATATCATTCTAGTTTAAGCAAGAGAATATTTTATTTATAAGAAGCAGGGAATTTCCCCTATTTAAATGAAAACTTGATTAAAAAACCAACAAAAAAGTGGAGTTCCAACCACCATTACACCTCTCAACCTAGTGATTCCCCCTTTCAAGACTCAAAGACACCATATATATCCAAATCACACATCCTACACCAGCCATATAATCATATAAGTTCGATCCGATTGATCGTCGCTGCCGCACGTTGCATGCTAATTGAAGGCGAAGAACCTGCAGGAATCTGCAGCCCCGACTGGCACTTTCACACATTTTCGCTAATCAGCGGCGAGTTGGGCTACTGTATGGCCTTTACGGCTCAACAGGCCATCGTAAATTAGGCCATAAATCAGACATGACCCCATAAAAAACGAAACCAAAACGGGGGCAACTACTACAGGGCAGGAAAAACTTACCTATCAAAGTCGCTGAGACGCGACGAATCGCGAAATCCCTTGGCAAACGGATTCGAATCGATTTTCAGTTTGGTAATCAATTGATTCTGATAGGCCGTCACGGCCGTGAACACGGTCTCCGGGAAAACGAAGGTTTTATGGTCCATATCCTGCAGCTCCTTGGGATTGCCGGGTATGCTCTGGCCATGGCTCAGGCGGACCAAGTGGATCCTGGGCTGATACCGATGCATTGAGTTCAACACGACCTGGAAGGAGATTTGGAAGATGAAGAAATTCCCTGAATGCGAATTGTTTGCCGCTGCTGCTGTTCCTCCTGCTGCTGCTGTTGGTCTTATAAAAAATGTACGTCCATAAAAAAGTAGTCGACGTTTGTTTTGACTGTCCTCGCAGCGTCTTCTTACACTCCTACATCCGCCACTCCAATCCACAGCCTTTATGGCCGTGATAAAAACGGTAGCAGGCTCGAAAACCCACAGGAACAGGGTCTTGAGTTGGCTTGTATTTGCCACCAAATTGCCAGCAATTTTCATTCATTTTTGTGCGCGCGCAATGCCATTTGCATATGTTGCATGCCCCCAGTCGTTGGCAACCCTGGCTGACCCGGTTTGACCCCGCCGTTTCCTAAGACAATGCCAAGACGAGCCGCCAGTTTATGTGCTCGTCTCGAAGACTAAATTATTCAGAAATGGAAACTGAGATGAAAGAAGTTTGGAAGGAAGTTGGGATTGATAACAGGAATTTTCCTGTTTTTTATTAAAGTTTAAAGTTCAAAACCCATTTATTAACTCTCCCTTTATTGATGTCACCAGCCTAACTATCATTCTAACCTGCAAACCCCCCTATAAATCTACGCTTCGACTCACCTGTCCGCTCTTGTCCATCTCGTTGTTTGTCAACTTCACCTTTTCGAAGGAGACGACCTGCTTTCTCAGTGCCTCCGGACTGAGGGGACAATCCGGATGGGCGTAAATACGGGCAGGAGGCGGTGGGTCTGCTTTTCCGGCCACCAGCCACGAACTGCGATGGTAGGCGTAACGGTAACGCCGCGAGTCCAGCGGCACAACGTCCAAGAGTACGGCATATCGGTCTGCAGGTTGGATTTGCCTCAAAGGACCCGAGAAACTCACTCGAACGGTGGGAAACATGCGTCTAAAAGGGGGTAAATTAGGAAATTTATAAAAATAAATGAAAGATGTATTATTTTTTAAGGAAATTATACTTAAAAATTGTTATTAATTTAAGTTTGAAGACTTGAAAAAAAAGTTTTATAGCCAAACTTAGCCTATACAACCCGGAAAATCTTACTAAACCCCAGAAAACTCACCCAAAAAAAACCAAGAAAATCGTGAACTATTTTTTTATTGCCCGTCATTGTGTTGCGGCAGCAAAAAACAAAAAAACTTTGGAGGTGGCAAGCTAGCGAGGTATGTAAATAAGACGCATATTTAATTTTATGACTTTTAGCACGTTTTTGACACATTTCCGCAAGCGATGTCGTCGTCGTCCTGAGTGTAGCAGGACTTTCCCACCCAGCGGGTGTGCGGAAAAGGGGTGTGTACTGCTATACACCACCCACTAACAGCCTACTCACACCCCTTGAAAAAGTCGTGCTTTTGTGGTCGCAGGTAAGTGTAAATGACGCTAATGACCCAGCCCAGTTTTTTGTCATTTGTCTAGCGGAATGAAGGGGACTGCTATATAGGGGATATATATGCCGATCTGGGTTGGCTAATCACAATTGATTTGCTTTCAGTGGCTTTGGTAAGGTAATTGCAACATTTGTTTAGCAAAATGGTATTATTAAGGTTTATTTTTGGGGGCTTTAAGAGTGGGAGAGTTAGAAGTAAGTCAAATCAGCAGGATAAATTGTCCATTGATTGTCCATCTTTCTGTGACACTTTTCTGCATATGGCAGGTGTATTTACAATATTCTTTAAGTTTACATACACATTTAACAACTTACTTAAGTGCTAACTAAACTAATTCCCTAACAAAAAAACATCTCAATTTCCCAGCACGCAAATACATTTTGTTCCCCTTACACTCTGCCCAATGAAAGATGTCTTTTTGTAGTAAAATTTGCACTTATTTTCCACGAATCTCCTGCTACTCAACTCTCTTGTTTGTTACGAACTGTGTTTACAGCCCATTATTGTAAGGGGGCGTGGCCAGTGTCACCATGATTGTTTTTGTTTAGTTAGTGACTAACCGCGTATTTATCGCAGTTACCAGGCCAAAACGAAATCCGAATGCCGCAGCCTGTAATTGTGATTTGTGCTGTAAGCAGTTAGAGTTGCCACTGCTGCTGCTGTACTCGCAGTTGCATGCCACAATTAGCACCATTGTAGCCGGCACTTAACATGTTCCGCTTATCTCGATATCTGCACGGACCTACAAAGCCAAAACCAAAGAACAGACTAACTCCGCTCGAGCTTGACTGCCCAACCGCCTGACGCGCCAAAAATACTCAAGAACGGAAGTCGAAGCCAAGCCCGGAAGCTCCCATTTTGTTTTTTTAGCCACCGAAATGTAGGAATGTAGGAATTGGTGGAAGAAAGTTGTGGTATGAGGTAGGCAGTGAGGGAAAATAGGAAGTAAGATACTTCCAATATTCATTTTAATTTCCATTTTAAGATTTTCCTCAGCTAAAAAGTCCCTTTTCCTAGTTTGGCCTTTGCTTGTTAGAATCTCTTCATAAACTTTTTAAATAAAATTACTTTCTTAATTAATCTTCTTTTAAACCTTCAATTCAACTTCTGCCACACTTTTAACATTTATTTATATTTTTTGTAATATTTTTTAACTTTATTTTTCTCACTAAGAAAAGCCCAAAGAATTGTTAACACTTTTCCAATGGCCTGGCCGACCTGCTAATGTGATCCATAAACGTGTGAAAGCCCCGGCACAGCCACGCCCCGCTTTGATAGCCGCCCTCGCTATTTGGTTTTGTTTGTGGTGTTTTAGCTGCTAGGCGGAAATGTCGTAAATCATTTTCCAGCATTTACATACATTTTACGAGCTGGAGAGCCGCCCAAGGCAAAAGCCACTCCCCAAGTGGCCAAAGTTTTCTTTTCGTTGGAGAGAGAGGGAGAGGGTTTTCCCCCCCAAGTTTAGTTGACCCGCTGGCCAAGCTTCTAAGTGTGGATTTTATGTATTTGTTTATGGGAAAATTAGGGAAATGGCTTTTACTCAGTTTTCTTTTTTCGGCCAACAACGCCAGAGCTAGAGCTTAGGTGCCAAAGGTTACAATTATGAAGTTTACACACCATTTGCCAAGGGGTGGCTATATAGTATATATTATATACATAAGAACATGTAGGGAATGGCAATTCATTATCAACACCTTTGTTACAGCAAATTAAGCCTCAAGGTCTAAATTAATAAAATGCAAATTAGCCAGCTAGTCGCTGAACAAAGCGAAACTAAAAAGCAACCCCGAAAAAAAGATGACTATAACTTAGATCTTATCGCCGGCTGACAACACTCCCCCAGTTTTTTGTATCTTTTATTAGTTGATTAATTCATAACTCCAGCCCTGCACCTTTCCCCTCTCTGGCAGGGGATTAACTTGTCTCGATATCGGCTGACCATTTCAGCTGCCCAGAAATATTAATAAAGTTGTGGAAATTCTTTTTTCCTTCTTGTTTTTTTTTTGAAAAATTCCAGAGAGAGAGAGGGAGAGGTAAAGCCCTGCAAGGGGTTGCACCATGGAAATTGCAATTACAACGCCTGGGCTACTGTCCTTAAATGCAGTTATCCTGCCGTTGGCTAATATCCGTGAAGAGTTTGTCGCAAAATATTTACAAACTCTCTGGGCTGGATTTTGGGTCAAAAATAAACAATTAGACCGCCTCCGCTGACTGCTGAGTTGGCTGTCTTTTGTCTTTTTTTTGGAAAATACCAACCTCAAAACCGCTGACAGCGTGACAAAATCGCAAACCACGTGATATTTTATCTCAACAACCGCAGGGACAAAGGCCAGCTAGCCCAACCTGACCGCGTAACAGGTAAAAAATTCTAACACTCTGACTTTGACTCCTTCCTGGCTCTGGCCCTTGGTTGTAAATCATCTGAGAAGTCTTCTTCATGTCTTTTTTTTCTTTTGCTTCAAATGTGTTGGCAATTTGTGGCAGTTCTTGTCCGCTTTTCACGGTTTCCTTCTGATGAGAGCCACGCATGCGCATTTGCATGTGGCAGCAACATTTTCACAGCTGCCGTGGAGAATTGCTTTTCAAATGGGTTGGGTAAGAGGGGGAAATTATGGGTTTCTTATGAGAAGATTAAAGTACAACTTAGGGTTTCTAATAACTTGAGTAACTTACACCACAGATTGGGATTTATTTACCCAAATTTAAGCTAGAAAAATCCATCTCAAACTCTTTTCTACCAAAGAAAAACCTCAAAAAATCTTCAAATCTTTGTAAAATTCTTTAATTTTCTAATAAATATTTTTAAATATTTCTTATTTAACACCCTTACTAGCTCCCTCTCCCCCTTTCCATACCCAACCCCATCTCCTTCACTACCTTTACTGTTACCAAATTATATCCGCCATGACAGACTGCAGCGAGTCATGCCATCTCATCGACTGCAAAGCTAAAAAGCCTCTCTCCCCCCCTCCCTGCAATTTGCAATTTAAAATGTATCATTCACTTGGTAAAAAAAAGTCCCGCATTGCCACACCCACTTAGCCAGCTGGGCCGCCCCTTTCGTGGACATGTTTAGCTAGCAAACGATGTGCTGACATAGATGGATATCGCTCGGAATGGGAGCTGCCTCGACTTCTGCTTGCTGCTGCCACAAACCTTTGCAATTGTGTTGCATGCGTCCGTCAAACCCGCACAAATGTAAATAAGTGTTGGCCGTTCATCGGTATCCTTTGACTAATTACAGGGCCCAAAAAAAAAGCACAAAAAATATGGACAGAAAGAGAAACACACAGAAAAACACATTGCCAAAGGACCAAATGTCCTGGGAAGCCTGGAAGGACATGCAAATGTGTTGTTAGCGCGACAATCGGCAGCTATTACAATGCAATTTATACTTGCTGTGGATCTCGGTGTGGCACTGGGATGGGGCCTAAAATGCGGGCAACTTTCGGCAAAGGAGTAAATTTGTTAATGTGTTGTCAGTGTGAAGGGAAGGGGCGAGGGAGAGGTAAGGGAGCGATAGGGAGTATAGCAGAGCCGCCTGTTGACGGCCACCAAAGGGTTAAGCCACACCAACAGAACCAAACAAACAAAAGTTGCCAAGCAAAAACGCAAGAAACAGTAGCAAAAATATGAATAACATTAATAAGCTGTGAGGTGTTGGGATAAGACTATGAGATACCTATTAATATATGAAAAAAAGTTATGATTAATAAAATAAATACATATTTCTACGAAATATTTAACTTTAAGTAGACTTTAAAGTGTCCATTAATACGTATTTAACTAGATTTTTATTTTTGATAATGATAAGTAAAGTGTTATCCCTAACTAGATTTTTATTTTTGATAATGATAAGTAAAGTGTTATCCCTAAAATGTTAATAAAAGTTAAATATTAATCTTAAATCTCATAACGTCTTTATTAATAACTTTATTTGTAAAAAGTTAAACTCCTAGTATTACCAAAATTCCATCATACCCCCTCTAACCCTAAACAAAAGCCCCGAAAAAGAAATCAACAAACAAAGGAAGGGCAATCCTAACTACCACCTAGCGACTAATGCGCATTTCGCATGTTCTCTGGGAGAGAGAGAAAAAAGGTAAGAAAAAAGGTAGAAAAAAAAAACCAAATACGAAATACACAAAGGGAAAAGTTCTTTGCCCCAAACTGCTATGTTTCATGTTCATGTTTCATGTTTTTTATTCGTATTTCAAAAACCCCCCTGAAACCCCTGAAAAGGCCGTCACAACACCGAAAACATCGTCGGGCAATAATTCCTTCAACTGTTCTGTTGAGTTGCGAATGAAAAGTCGTTTAACCTGGCATTTGTATGAGTGTTTGTGTTTTCAGGTTATATATATATATATACAGATATATATATTGTATTTTTTCCAAGCCAAAACAGCTGACGATTTCTGCTTTTCTTCTGCTAATCGAAATTCGAGGCAAATTATTTCGATGCCTTGTCAATCAAAAAATGTTTCTCGCTGTAAATGAGGAACTAACCGAAAAGTTGTTGATATTTTCCATTTAAGACAGCATTGGGGCGTAAATGGGGCGTGGTCGTTAGCTTATAGCCGAAGTTTGGCTTTCTCGAATGGGTGAAAGGCGCATTAAAGTTTTTTATTGATTGTCTTAGCCGTTGTTGGAGGACTTTTCGTGGGCTTGATTGTTGGTAGATTGCCGGGGGCGGCATTATGGTTATGACCCGCACTGCCCCACTGCCACTGCCCTCTCTACAACACACTTCCTCCTCCTATCACCGCCGGCAAATTGAATTCCAAACGAATGTTTAATGAAATGAAAATGCATGTTGCCGAGCTCTTGGAAAACCGAAATGTGATCGATTATCGGGAAATTTCTTTCAATAAGTGAGCAGGTCGATAAGTGTGGTTTTCCAATTGCTGGCAAATGTTTAACTTAATTGGTTGAACGGAGTTTAAGGTGGCGTTCGAAGAGGTTAGTATACAGCAAGGTGAGTAAGGGGGAGGTGGTAGTAGAGTTGAATTTGATTAAGGATTTGATTTGATAATAAATTCCTAGGAAAAGATGCCTTTCAAAGGCCTTAAAAGGGAATTTCTTGTGGAATTTAAGATTTTTAATGTTTTTAAAGGTCTAAAAAGAACCTTAACTTTAACTAACACCCTAAAAACATAACTTTTACCTCTAACTAATCATTATATTCAGCCCAACCTTATCATTATTAATACAAATTTTCAAGTTTAGTTAATATAAAACTTTTAGTAACCTGAAAAATCCTCTTAAAATACTAAAATTAAGATATATCTCCGCTTTCATCTCTACTTAAAACCTTTCCTAGTTTCATCTGTGGTACCCCCCCATCAACCCCACCCACTCATATACGCGAAAACCCCCTTAATTTATGCATTCATGTTGCCGCTGTGGCACTCACCTGCCCGATTTGGTAATGATCATTTCAGTGCCCAATTCATGGAACTTATCCCACAGCTCCTTGGTCTCCAGGTGGCACTGGACGGGCGTGAGATCGTCGCAATTGCAAGAGCCCACTATCTTGGGCGTGGGCTGCTGTGGGCGTGGCAATCGTAAGAGGGAGAGAGAAAGAAAAAGTAAAGAAGTTGAGAATTAAGAGAAGATTTTTAGTGTGATGCTGGAGGGTGATGCGTGTTGCTTTCTGCAGACTTTGTTGCTGATTTGTGCACTTAGAGAAATTCGATTTTTAAAATGTTATAATGGAAATGAATAAGTTTTAAATATTATTTTTTGAATAGGAAAATTTCTTCTTTTAAGATGGCAAACAAATCAAAATAAATTTTAATTTTTCATTTTGAAAAGTTTATAGATCTTAGTTAGATCTGATTTATAAAGTTTAGCTAACATTTTAGTACAACTTTAAACATTCTAAACTCCTTTATAAACCTTCTAATATCAGTTTAATTTAGAAAGTTAGTACTCTGTTAGTTCTCTGCATCTCTACCTGAGCTGGCGATTCCTCTGGCGACAGGCGTTCATGTTCCTCGGGACTTTGCGAGGGCGGTGGCGGTGGCGGCGAGGGCGTGGCAGCGGCTCCAACTGCGGCAGAAGAACGCCCTCGATGGCTGCTTGATTTGCTGTTGCTGTTGCTGTTGCCTGAGTTGCTGTTGTTGCTGTTGCTGCTGTGATGATTGTGATGTTGGCGTTGTTGCTTGTTTGCCGTTGCATGGTGATGTGTCTGCTGCCTTTGTTGTTGTTGTTGTTGCTGCTGCTGCTGTTGTTGTTGTTGCTGTGCAACACGCAATGCCTGACGCGCTTGCTGCTGCGCCTGCAAAGCTGCCGCTGCAGCCGCCGCTGTTGCCGTTGCCGCCGTCGCCGTCGGCATTTCCGAGTCACTGCAGTCGACCACATCAACGTCAACATCATCGTCCGCATCCTGGCCAGAATAGCGCTCCACGGATGCGGGGCCTACACAGAGAGAAAGAAAGTTAGAGATGGAAATAAGTAACTAAGATTAACAGGTTTAATAGCAATAACTAACTAACTAACTAAAGTAATTAAGAGAGGACTTTTCTAAGAACAAATCTTAAAGTTTATCTTATCAACCATTTCTAAGTTAGAAACTCTCTTTTTGCAGTGCACTTAGTAAAGAGAGACATCAAATTGCCTTGTTAATGTGGGAGTTGCTGCTGCTGCTGCTGGGCAACTGCAACATGTTGCATGTTGTCGCTGACGAGTAGTCGCAACGGCAATGCCAACGAGAATCCAGTTCGCGGCCAGATGCGTTCTACAGATTACGCCAAAAATTCAATTATTTGCTCAAAATGCAATTTCATATGTTAATTTCGAGTGTATTGGTGTTTGTGTATACGAGGTGTGTTCAAAAAGTAAGGTGACTTTTCAAATTTCGCGGGCAACATATTTTCGATTATCGTTTTTTTTGTTTTGTTATATTGGTACACTCTTCCCTAACATCTGTACCAAGTTTCAATGGAACATCCTCTTTTGTTTGGTTGTGAGAGGCTAAAGGTACAAGTTGTTTTCGAGCTCGGCGATTTTTTGCTTTTTTCGGTCTTGGCTCGTCTGGGCTCTTCCATTGGGACGATTGGGCTTTGGTTTCGATATCATAACCATATACCCATGATTCGTCACCAGTTATGACCCTTTGAGTAAATCTGGGTCGTCGTTGACGTCATTCAACAGCTCTGAGCGATGCTCATGCGACGGTTCTTTGCTCAAAATTCAGCAATTTCGGAACAAACTTCGCTGACACACGACTCATACCCAAAACGTTTGAAAAATTTCATGGCACGAGCCAAGCGATATACCGACATCTTCAGCAACTTCTGATAGTGATTCGACGATTTTCCAAAACAATTTTCGTCACTGCTTGAACGTTTTCATCAGTTGTTGACGTGCTTGGGCGTCCAGAGCGAGGCTGGTCATTGGCATCTTCCCGGCCATCTTGGAAGAGTTTGTACCACTTGTACAATTTTTTTTACTCAGAACAGTTTCACCGTATGCCACTGTCAACATTTCAAGTGTTTCAGAGCACTTAATTTTATTTTTACACAAAATTTGATGCAAATCCTTTGATCCATATTTTTCGATAGCAAAAATCGCCGAGCTCGCAAAACAACTTGTACCTTTACGCCTCTCACAACCAAACAAAAGAGGATGTTCCATTGAAACTTGGTACAGATGTTAGGGAAGAGTGTACCAATATAACAAAACAAAAAAAACGATAATCGAAAATATGTTGCCCGCGAAATTTGAAAAGTCACCTTACTTTTTGAACACACCTCGTATGTGTGTGTGTGTTTTGTGGCATTGCCAATGCCAATTGCCAATTGGAAAAAGGGGGCGGTATGAGGTAGGTCGAGGGGCCTTTCACACACTAATGAATGCATCTGTTTGCGCTTCTGTCTCTACCCAATTATGGCATCTAAATAGTTTTCAGACTGCATATATATACCCGATTATATATATATATATATAGCTGACATGTACTGCAGCCCAACCCCCCGCGAATTCAAATAGGCTTTGATTATTTTATTGCCGCGCATTTGCTGCAATTATCAAGTCATCAACGTTGCATTGTCATCAATATATAATTTATATACGGGAAAGCGAGGGAAAAAATGAGGAAAATATAGAAATATAATGCAGCTGCGACAGTTTTTCAAAGGCTGAATGGGGGCGGTAAGGGAAGGGAAGACTTATATTACTAATCGATCGATTAAATGAGTTTTTGCAGCAGCCAATGGGATGTTTTTCTCTTTATAAAGGAAAAACTATCTTTAAGATACATTTTTGGTGGATTTCATTTGTTTTTTAATATTAATTGGGTTCATTTTCTATAAATATTCAGTCTTACTAACCTATTTCCTTTCCTTTGTCTTACTTTTCATTCAGTACTTGAAGTTTTTCAGCTGGAAAAATGTATCTTTTCTTGGCAATGCCTTCTATTTTTTTCGTTTTTCTTTATTAATTCGAAAAGGCAAACAACTCAAGATCATTCACATTTTCTATAATCTTCTATTACTGTACCCCCCAACACAGCTTTATCATTTTCCAATCACTTAACCACCTTGCATATTCCAATCCTTTTCAAACTTGAATCTTAGTAAATGACTTTACTACCCGCGCCTTATTAGATCGTAAAAGTTTATGATTAAATCACCAGACAAGCCCGTAACTTGGAATAAACATCAACATGTGTGATATGCTAAATTTAATATTCTTTTCAGCCTTTGGCCAGGCAATTTATTAGACTCAATCAAAAGAATATTGAAAACGATAATAAAGTGAAACTAGTTTGTTGCCAAGAACTAAACTTGATTTCAGGAATCAAAAGAGACATCTATGAGTGAATATTAGATTGATTTTTTATAAAGCTACATATATATATAGGTAAAGTGATTAGATTAAAAGTAATAGGTAAAGTTAGTTTATTCAATTAAGTTTGTTTTTATGCTAAACTAATACTATAGATTTATAGAAAGAAAAAAGCGATAAATCAACCCTAACTATAGATTTTCCTTCAACTTTCCTCTTACTGTAGATGAAAAAACCACAAAAAGTCAGCCCCAAAACCCACTGACCACCTATTTACATCTGTCTATATTTAGTTTAACATCTAAAGTAAGGCGAACTAGGGGTTTGGGGGATTACTTTACTCACTCAGACTCCGTTCGGAAGGTTCCCGGCTGCTTGGGGCGTTTCCGCCTCGCGCCATAATCGCCGCAATTGAGAAATCCGTGGCGAAGGAAATGTTGTGCTGATTGTGATTGTGATTATGATGGTTGTTCAGCGGATGATGAAGATGATGATGATGATGATGATGCTGGTGGTGGGGTTGCTGGTGATGATGACTGCTGCTGCCGTTGGCAATATTCGCCGCTGCCACCGCCGCTGCCGAAACAATCTGCTGCTGCAACTTCGTCTTGAAGTTCTGCGTCTGCGACGGCGAAGTCGTTTGCTGCGGTTTCGTATTCGCCGGCTGATTGCTCAAAAGCATTTTCAAGCTGAGATTTAAGGTATTTATATTTCCCAGATATTAGGGGTTTAGCTTTTTTTTAGGTTTTCTCTAGATTTTTATGCGTTTTTTAAGGTTTTAAGTTGAGTTATTTTACGAACATTTTTGTTTTAGCGATTTGTAGTTTAGTTTTTTGATGTTTTAACTCATTTATTTTGTGTTTTAAGAATATTTTCTGTTTTTTGCAGTATTTTTTACTAAAGCTTGTGGAAATTTTTCATTTTTGTGTTACCATTTTCATTAGTAAACTTTATAATTTCCTTTTAATTTATAATTTCCTCCTGTGAACGATTTTGATTTGCCGGCTCTCTTTCCAGATCATTGTTGCATATTTATTTATCACTTTTTAAGCTATTTAATTTTAAAATTTAGTTATAGAAAAATGTTATTTAATTCCTTTAAAAATGTTGACTTTAATTTTTGGTAAGTTTTTGGAATTTATAAGTTTTTGAAGAAGATATTTTAGGAATCCAAGCACATTTTCAGCTGTTAAAATTTTTATTTGCGATTTGTATTATTAAAAATGTTTTTTTATAAATTTAAATAAATATTATAAAATATGAGTAAACGTGACAATGTTTTTTTTTTCTATTTCCAAACACTTGGCGATTCGACGACTTAACGCCCGTACTTTTAGGGTCTCCGGTTGTCCGTGCTTTTTCCGTAATGTTTACGCAAATTTTTCGAGGTGGAAACGGGAAATGCCGGAGCGCCGTCGCTGCTTCACAGTCACGCAGCTGACCATTGAATGAATCCCAATTCGCTTTTCGCCATGTAAACGCCAAAAGCGCCAAAGCCAAAGCCAAAACCCAAATACAACAAAACCAACAACAAAACAACAAAAAAACGCAACGCAAAAATCAACAACAAATACGAGAACGTCGGCAGCGACGCCGACTGCTACGTCGACTGACCCCCAAAACAGAAACAACAACAGCTGATGTGTCTTACGGCGAAAGGTTTTCAACACCACGTAACATAACGTTAGGCCTAACGTCATATACACTTCCAGAGAACAAGGCCCAAAACTTTCCTTACGTCACGTAAGCTAACCGCAATTTTAACCGCAAAACGTATGGAAAAAATGTACAGAATTCAATTAGGTAGGAGCGAGCGAGATCGGCATACAGGCAGCGCATTCCCATGCTGCTTGCAGCGACGCCAGCGTCGAGGCATAACTCATTTCCATTTTCCAATTCGAACACACATTCCCATGCACTCAAAACAATACCAATTCATAAGCTGGCCATGTGCTAGAGCGGGATAACTATATTAGTGAGCAATTGAGTGGAGAGTATTTTTCGTGGCCATCTCTTTCGCACTGCAGGAAGGGTGTCAGAGGGAAAGAGAGCGCGCTGTGGAGTTCATAAATTCGTCATTTTGTTTTCGGCTGTTGACAGTTCTTTGGGTGTTCGTTGGTGTTGTTGTTGTTGCCATGGTGAGTGCGAGTGTGTGTGCGAGTGGTTTTCAAACCGTTGGGGGTGGGGATGTGTTCACCGCTTTTCGTCAACTATTTACGATTCTTCCCAACTCAAGTCCGTTTCCATTGCGTTCCACTTGGTTAACTCACCACGCTTGAGTGGAAATACGAGTGAGTTTGCTATATGCTGCTTTTGAGTTTTTTGGGATAGAAGCGTTTTAACTGAAAAATTAAAAAAAAAAGAATTTTTAAATCAAATTTATTAAAATTTATTTTCAAAATTCTGGGAACATTTGGGGAATCAAAGCAAAAGCCTTAAATAATCTCATGGATGTCTTCTGCGATTATGAAGCCTTGATCAGGGTAAAGAAAGAGCTGCCTAAAAAAGAAAGAAAGAACTGAAGACACGTTGTTCCACAAGAAATAGCTTTCAATAATTTAGAGAGCTAAACGTTATTTTAGCTTCTATAACTTTTGAAAAGGTTTTCCTTTGAGTAACGACTTTTGCTCGCTTTCCAGTTCTGGGCGGCGCCATCTTCGCCTTGATTAAAGGTCCATGTTCACATCCAAATCCGAAGATTACATTTTGACTTCCTTAATTTTTGACAGATTCGCCCTCCATCAATGACACTTTTTTACAGTTCAGTTAGAAAGTCTTTCACAGATCCGGTAGAATCCACTTCCTCCAACAGTGCCTCTTCCATGATCAACATCCTTACAGCTTTTCACTTTCCCTCTGCTTCTTGAGAAGCTCATCTTCACTTCTAGGGTATTCCCAGGATGTCATTTTTTAACATTAGGACAGAATTCAGCAACGACGCATCTCCTTACGTAAAGTCATTTCCCAAAATAAAAATAAAATTCTTTCTTGCAAATAAAGCAAAAAAATAAAAAAAAAAAAACTAACCTAGCAAAAAAACATGCAATTTTAAATTCAAAGATAAATGCTGATAATGAAGGATAATCCACCATAAATCAAATCTAAATTAGTAAAAAAAATTCTTCTAATAAGACAAAAACTTTCACTAACCTGATTTAGCAGAAACGAAATTGGTCTTAATTATTGGAATTTTCACTACAAATTTGACAAACCCTTTTAGAATTTCAAGAACGGATCTACTATTACTTCTGAAAAACTCTTACGTTTTGCAATTCCCAAATTATCACTCAGAAAACTATGTCTTAAAAAAACTATAAGTTAAGAAATTTGCTGGAGTACGATTGCTAAGGTCACTAAGTTTTTAATTTAACTGTGCTTGGAATTTCACTATGGAAATTAACTGAGGGCTAAAAAGGGGAAAAAGAAAGTAATAATAACAAAAAAATAAAATAAAAAGTGAAGGTTGACCCGCATTTACCAACATATATTTCTAACATTTTAATTAAAATCATAAACTAATATTTATAATATTCCTTAATAATCAAAAATCCTAAAAATTGTCCTTGAATAATGTTTTAATATTATTTGATGAATTTGTATATAAAAATCAGCATCAATGAAGGATTTTCTTTAAAATGATGCGTACCATTAAAAGGTTAAGAAAATAATAATATTTGTTCCTAAAATAACCCACAAATTATTTTATTTAAATTAATAACCTACTGTTACTAATTCCCCTCAATTTAATTTTTATTTTTTAACCTTCACCCTATAATTTCCGTCTAAGGGAAAACCCATTCGCCACATCCTTTGCCAGGACTTATCTGAGAAAGTGTCTCTCCTGCCCCCTCGCAACTCGCAACTCGGAACTCCAATTGAAAAATCATAATTGAATATCTGGGTCCTGTCACTCCTCCTCCTCCTCTGGCCCGCCCACCGAGCGACGTATGTAAATGTTTTTAATTTAAATGTTTGCTCAAAAGAAAAAAAACAAAAGATGGTCGGGAAAAAAAATGCGACGATGGCGTGTGAACGCAGCAGAAAATTATAGAGCCGGGGAAAAAACCGAGGGAAATGTTTTTTGGGGAGGCAGGGTAGGGGAAGGAGTGGTTCGGGTGGTGCCACCATCTTGTTTCCCTCCGTCAGACTTTTTTCACAATTCGTCAGCTGCGCCCTTCGTCATTCTACCAGGATGATGTCCTTTTTTCTTAAGCACTGAGAGAAATTTTTTAAAAGATTGGAATTAGTTTTAATATGTAAATATTCGTAGGAATTTATTTTAAGATTTATATAATATTAAGAATATTTTTAATCTGTTATATTTTTGCATAAGAGAATTTTTAAAAAATTTTTAAAATATTAAAAACATTTTTTAAACTTTTTTAATCAAATTTTTGTAAGTTTTCTTTCTTTTAGCTCTTTTTTTTTGTAAAAATTTCATATTAAAGCTTAAATAATAACAAGAATACAATATATTAACAAAAAATTTAAGAACTTTAAAAACCCCTATTTTTTCTCCCAGGGTAAGCATTGTTTTTGTGTCTGCGGTTACATTTGCATGCGATTCGTGGTTGCCAGCCGATGTGGCGCACAATTGAGCCACTAATGGTGATGTTGATGGTGGCCAGATCGGTGGAGGGAGTATATATAGCATAGTACCCAGAGTATCTGGAGTATCTGAAGTACAGACAGGGTGGGCTGCTTTTTGTTTGCTTTGTCGCGGCTCGGTGACAATTTTTCAATGATTTGTTTCCTGCCCCGAAATCTCATTTGCATATGCCACCATATTTTTTCAACTTTCCTGGCTTTTTTTTCTTGCCTCTCCTGTTTTCTATTCCTACTCCTGCTTCCTCTTTTTTTTCATTATATAGATATATATAGGAGAGTGTATATGTTTTCAGGGGGAGTGAAAAATTGCAATCGCTTTGTTTTTGTGGGTTGGTTTCGGGCAATTTGAATTTGATTTAATGAAATTAAGAGGGCGTGTTCTTCTAATAGTCGTTTCTTTAAATAGTTTTCAACGATTTTCGTGGAAATTGGTAAGCTAATGAAGTTGATAGAAGTAGTGTAGAGAGCGGCTTTCAAGTTAATTGAGAAATTTAGACATTTTTCACGGGTAAAAGGGGGTAAATTTGGGAAAATTTTGGTGAGGGTTTGGTATATAGTTTGAGATTTCATAAAAAGTTATTAATTGATTAGGAAAGGCAACATTTTTTTTTAGATTTTTAAAGAGTTTAGATAATATATAAGATGTTTAGTTTATTAATCAATAATTATTACTAACAAAAATCAGTAAAAATATTACTTTAAGGGCTCTTCTAAATTCCTAAAAAAAAACCAAAATTACTACCCAAAATCCATCTCAAACTCTTACCCAAATCTGAGCCATATTTAGCATAAATAAGCTGCAACTTCTTGGCTTAACTAAACCATAGAAAACACTAAATTACACCTTGAGTTAGTTTGCATAATTCAGCTGCATGTCGCACGGAGGCGGAAAAGCCAAAACAAAGCACTTCAAAGTTATTTATGAAAAACATTTCCCAAAAAAAAAACCTATGACTAATATTGGGAAAGGAAATCAGAATCAGGAAAATATTGAAACAGAGCGGAAAAGCCAATCAACTAGATATCTCTAGCAGAAGCTGATTTCATATATATGCTACTATATATATGGTATGGAATCCGATTTTGTTTACGCTTTGACGGGATTACGGGAAAGTCGCTTACGTGGAAGCCGCAGAACGGTGGCCCGTTGTCCCAAATGGCTATTAGTTTTTATTTCGAAGGGAAATTTCACTATTTT